TATTTACAGTAGTCTTATTGCGATTGTATACAAATAAAGCAGATTTGTATTCATGGTATTTACTTTTTGCAGTCGTCTGTAAACCACGGCTTATCAAGTTTAATTTTTTTTACGGGTTCTTTTTCTATGTACAGTGTTTACAGTGTATACTGATATAAAATCAGATAGACATTTGGAAAAGCCTTCGACACAGTTGTCAACGCTTGAGTAGTGTTGTCCGCAAAGCAAGAGCTCGTTAACACGTCTTGGTTATCTCTCACTCTCAGTGTCTTACGAATATCATCAATATTAACTTTACCCCAGTTAATCTGACTGCGTGTTTCCGCTCTTTGTTCACGTTTATTTTCTTTATTGTTACCATATACTGTTTTCGTTTTATTTGTTATATTAAATACGTTAAATATTATGGGTGAATGATCAGAGAATTCTTTGAAATAACCAGATTGAAAGTATTTAATAAGTGATAAATGTTTGCCTTTATTTGAGCAAAATCTAAAACTACCATTGGTATCATTCTTATGCCTACCATTCACAATTCTTAACCCTGTAGCTTTACAAAAAGATATCAGTTGTCTACCAAACTGGTTAATAGAGATATCCATATTGCTCCGAATTGGTAATTCAACATCCGGGGTATAACTACATATATGGGATATTTTGCTGGAAATAGAATCTGAAAATATATCATTTTCGATAAACACATCAAATGTACCTAGTCTAGAATTAAAATCACCGGTTACAATAACCACACCCTGATCATCAACATCCTGTAATATACGATAAATAGATTAACAAAATATTTATTATAGAAAATGCTACCATGTGGTGAGAAGTAGCATGCAATAATATACAGATTTTCAGCATATCCACATATTTTAATAACCACAATAGTATCATACAAATTTTCAACTATGGTACATTTATGTATTATCACATTTTTAATTAGGATGACTAATCCCCCACCCTTAGCCCACTCTCTTGCAAAAGCGAAAGCCGTATAATTTGTGAGCCCAATCTCGTCGTGATAAACTGTTTCAATGGCATTTAGTAATTGAACTAGAGTATACAGGTCACAATTCTATGGAATACAATTACTGCTTTTTACTGAGCGACGTTTCGACTAGGCTTCTCTTAGTCATTATCATGCAAGCTATGATAAAAAATGAAAATATGACAGGACAATATATACATGTATACAACAATGCTCAGTTAATGCTGACAAACCAGGGATGTAACTTAATTACGTGTACCTAATGGTAATCTGATTTAATTGTACGCTAATAAGTAATAATACCAATTAACCTAAAAAATTGACTAATTGATTAATGGATAAGTTGTTGTGGAGTATACACAATGATTAGTGGGTTTTAATAATACAAACGTTGCAAGGAAATGAAAATTGATGAAATGTTATCAACGACCCCTTTCACTGAAATAAATACAAATGATAAAAGAATAGATTGTTGTGGAGTATTTACAACGATTTGATGAGGTTTTGATAATGACAACATCCCAAGAAGATGAGATTTGATTGGTGTTATGACCAAAATAATTGATATGTGGATGTTGATGCGAGTGATTACACTGATATACGAAAAACCCTTAGAACAATGACTGCACAAATGATCAATAGTCCCCTGAAGGCTGACAATTTAAAATATTGAGTGGTACTTCACTGGATGTTATAGTGATGTAGAAAAGCAGGGTTAGAACTATTGAGTGCATTAAATTACAATAACCGCAGGCCTGAAAAGCAAAAATGCCTGAAAAGCAAAAATAGTTGGGAATTATTAGTTATCATTTTTGTATATTATGATGGTTATTACAAACTTAAAGTTATTACAGGAATATTGATAAGTATTAAATATGATAAAAAAGAAAAAAAGGAGAATTATGCTTAGCCTTGATTATGTGATAAGAATATCATACGCCCTGGGGAGGAACAATCCTTGATCTCTGTTCATCGTTTGTGTCGTCGTATTTGAATGGCTTCATGTAATCGGCGCGCTCTCTTGTTGCTTATATTCTTGCATAGTGGTTTTACGTTGGACCATTGGACTCTCTGGTGAGGGTTAGAGTTCAAATGTTCAGCTACAGCTGAGTTGTTGGTTGCTGCTTTCGACTTGTGGTCATCTATCCTTTTATTTAATGGTCGCTTTGTCTCCCCGATGTATGCAATCCCACAATTGCATACTATTTGATAAACACATCCCTTTGGTTGTGGTGGTTGTGTAGGATTTTGTTTACCATTGGCTCTTAATATATCTTTAGTGCTGTAGCTTTTTGTGAAAGTTACATCTATTTCTGGTTGTTGCATTAGTAGCCGTTTGATTTGGTAGGAGACTTTGCCGTTGAAAGGAAGGACATCGCCTCTTACTTCTTCTGTCTGCTTGGGGATCTTTCCATGGTCTGTACACAGGCGCAGTTTTGGGCAAAGTGTTTTCATTATCCTCATCATGAACAGACTGCTCATACAATTTCCCCATCTATAAAGGGTTTATCCCTTACCATCCGAGTTTTATGACCTTTCTGCTTATAGGTCTTCATGACACGGTAAAGTATTTTTCGTTTATCTTCATTGCAATAATGGCTGGGAATTGTTGGTGGTCTGTGGTAAATGAATCTGGCTACAATTGGGCGACTACGCCCCGTGACATGTCGACCAAACCGATGCACATTCCCAAATTCAAAATGATAATCCACACCTAGTTCGCGCACAATAAACAGTCTTAGTAACTCTTCTGTATTTTCCCCCGTATTTTCTTTTAGACCTTGAAATATAAGATTATTTTTCATAGAGCGACACTGCAGGTCAATGACAGTACTCACTTGATTTACTACTGACTTAGAATGGTCACTAATACTTTTTACGTCTGTAGAAAGTTTCTCAATCCTTTCATAATTTACTTCGGTTTTCTTACTAACCTTATCACATAAATTACTGATCTTCTTCAAGCTATCATCCCGGTCTTTATCTTTCTCTTTCGGGGTTTTCAGATCACTATCTATCACCGATATTTGGCTCTTCATCCCAGCTAAAAGTGACTCAATATTTCCAATCTTAACCATTACGTTCTAACCTTTTCATTCTTAAATCCTCTCACCTCTGAACTACCCGTCAGTATCCGATTCAGCTTTCGGAGTACAGTTAACCGCTTGATTAGGGATTGTGCTATTTATTTCTAGATGGTTGTCAATAATAAACCTTTCTGCACTCGACTGTTTAATAATGTTAATAACAGTCCTTGTCCGTTGAGTTATTTATACAAGTAATTACACCAAGTGTTGTTTCTAATAAAAACTCATAAAAAGAGTTTCTGTCTTTAACTGTTCTAATCTGATAACCTAATTCTACTTTTTCCGGGGGGGGGGGGGGGTGGATGGCCGAATGGTTAGCACGTGCGTGCTGTATCATAAAGCCTGTCATTGAGACAATTGGCGTGGTTTCGAATCCCCGGTTGTACGTGACAAGGAGTAGGGTCGCCTGTCCAACCTCGTGGGTTTTCTCCGGGCCCTCCTACTGCTAAAGACCCCTACGCGCAAGCGAATTATTGAAATAAAATTAAAAACCATATGTTAGTCCCGAAATGACCTAGTTTGTGTCGAGTGGACGTTAAGCCCCATTTCTCTCTCTCTCTCTGTCTCTCTCTCTACTTTTTCCGGAACCTGACCCCTTTCAATCGTGACTTGTACGGTTCCTGATTTTTTGCCGTCTGGGGTTCTATTATACACTTATTACTTCATACCCATTGGATTGAAGGTCGTCTAAGATTTCTTCGTTTGTGTATTCACATGGGATAGCATGAACAATACCCTGCTCCTGGGTTAGAGATATGAGTGGGGAAATTACCACTTCTACTCCGCTTAGTTGTTAGATCTTGCATGCCATTCATTTCTGCATCACTGGCATTTTCAAACGCCAGTTGCACGTTCCCATTTTTCAATATTTTAATTTCGTGAGTGTCTTTTATTCCCCATTTGCTTTTGATTTTATTTTAGTTTTTATAGCTATAGATTTTGTATAATCCTTAGGTTTAACGATGACCACTTCAGTGTATTTATTAGTAATTAATTTATCAGTATGTTTACAACTGCCTACCGTTTTAAAACAGTTAGGAAGTGGTGTATTTAAAAGAAATTCAACATAGCTTGAGCATTTTGTATTCATGGCCTCAATTAAAGTAGACAAATAAAGTCTTGCGAATAACTCGAGATTTTAATCGAGAATTCTAAGTCAAATTACTGAAACAATAAGCCGCCCGCTTATAATATTAGTAAATGTTATAGGTTGTAGTAAATTTGTACTTAGCTTGTCGTAATGTTGGATTATCTTTGCTTTGTTTCACGATTCCCGAACTTATAGCTACGTTATCTTGAGGCACGTCAACAGTTGCGTCCAATCAGAGGTAACAGTGACACCGCGACCTAAACAGAAACCTTGACACTGAACGAAACTTGAACTTTGCAACTCGATTATAATATCACAGGTAGACATTTTAAATTGAAAGTGCGAGACTTGGTATTCGCGACGACCGAGAAATCTGATAGGTTCACAAGCTGGGCTTGTACCCAATCGAAATTAGTGCCGAAATATGCAGGGTATGACGTGAATTCAGGCCTTGATAAGATGTACGTTACAGTTATTTAAAGCGAGATCAAGCCTTCTAATTCTATTAAAGATGGGCGGACATTGGCATCACCAATGCCGTCTGATGACGTTATCAGTCTATATTATTAGTATGTCTATGGCTTAGCCCGTAAGTGCCCGGAACGGAAATGTGCACTGAGCGGGCGCAAGCAATTTTAACTAAAATCTATTAAAGTTACAATAGATCTTCATGAAATGCATAAAATTTAAAATTTCATTTTGATTTTAGTAAAAATCTATTTTAGTTTATGTTTTTGTGAAACAGGGCCGTTGGAAATTTTTAGACGAAGTCCCAAGGCCTTTTGCGAGCACTTGTTGTTGTCACGTGCTTTGATGTATCCCTAGACAACGCACATTGTTTTGTAATGGCGGCCAACAGGTGAATATTCTGGACAGCTGGAGTTTATCGCTACGGTAGGACATGTCGAGTTTAGATATATTTTTCTATCACAAGCTGACAAGCACCAACAATATATACAATTATTTTGGTAAAGAAATGGATCAAGAGTATAGCCATAAAATGCCTTTAATTAATTTTTAAAAGTTAGACGTCACCGATCCTCTTGCACTCCACTCAAGCTACTCCAGAGTGCCTTGAGGTTTCGTTCACACACGTAACCTCAAGGTTCCTGAAGCTGTACTTATGTAGAGCGAACTGCGACTGAATTGTTGGCGCATCAAATAGCCACGAGCTGAAAGGCGTCAGTCAATAAATTCTAAATGCATGTCCTACCTTATTGTGTGATCCATCTCTGAACAACAATGACACTTACTGACAAACAAACGTTGTTCAGTGAAACAGGTTTATCTAATATCACATACACCAGCATTTCTTTCAGTCGCCATCTTGGGATAGTTTGACCTTTTTTTGACGCCATATCCTCGGCATTAAAATTTGAGAATCCCTGTTTTACGCGATACGAAATGAATTTTTGTACAATATTTTTATGGATTGCGTATAGGCTATGTAGGGCCTACTGTTTTTGTAGAGGTTTTATATCGGGATAGAAGACGATGTTTGTTGAAGAATAATAAGGTCGCTCTTCACACATAGTTGAAAAAACACAACGTCCATTGAGAACTTAATAATTATTTGTTGCATGATTAATTAGTATTACTGTCTGAACCTTGCTATTTTATAAACGCATTTCTTCGATTACGAACAAACTATTTAACTTTGGTTATTATAAACTTACCTGTGTGTTTGAAATCAACTCCGGTTAAATAAAATCCATTGCACAATTAAATATCCCAACGAATAAAAAAGTTCTCTTGAAAAATTGAACTCAAACAAACTTTTGACATAGGGCAATACAAATATGGAAGCCGGTTACGTCACTCTTCGGGAGATATCATTTCGTATCAAGGGGTGACAGCATACTACATCGAAACGTTTTACGGTACATTTATGACACTTTTTTATTCGTTGGGATATTTAATTGTGCAATGGATTTTATTTAACCGGAGTTGATTTCAAACACACAGGTATGGTTATAATAACCAAAGTTAAAGAGTTTGTTCATAATCGAAGAAATCCGTTTATAAAATAGCAAGGTTCAGACAGTAGTAGGCCTAGATCATGACCAGTGCTTGAAATGAGGATTCTTCTACAACGGCACCAAAAATTTATAAATGCCATAGCAAAAATTAGTTGACAAGGCACGGCTGCCTTTCTTCATATTTAACAAATATACTGTTGTCATTTTCCGTCACTGAACGCGCAATTTTTATATTTGTAGATAGACAAACGGCCCGTGCAATGATTTTCCGTGTCAATTAATCTGATTCTAATTGCGTTTGGTGGTACTGTCATTATAAGTATAAAATTTACAGATTCCTCTTGGAGTAATAAAGTCATCGAATTTTGTTTTCCTTTCAATCCTTTAGTTATTCGTGTTCCCAATGGTTGCCATCATGTCAACAATAACTAAAATTGATTCATCAAATTTCCCATGGCTCTGCCATAACTTTCTATAATAAGGGCACTATTTTAGAAAGTGAGCATTCTTATGAAAAAATGAACTATAAGGGTAGACTTGGGACACTATTTACAACTAAATCTTGTACTTCTGAATTATTGACCTAATCCCAAGCCCAGCCGCCCCTGAACGACTGTATGATATATTGAAAAGTTATTACCTATGCATTTCATACGTCTACATGTATATAAAAGGCATAACTTTTTGATACGTGTACACGTGGACAACGGCGCAATTTGGGCTATTTTTATTACCGTGGCAGTCCGTGTTTGCTTCAGCTTTTACTTTTTACGACAGTTTTGCCGTTATGCCGTGGTAAATTCTAGCATAGTTGGTATGATTGAGATTATTATTTATAAAATGTTATTAAATGTTCATTACAATATAAATCCTTAAATTTGTCGGCATTCGTAGAATGTTTCATCACTACCGGTTGATTATGATAGCTTCTGTCTTGTCAATGTCACATGACATTTTCCCGCTTTTTCTATCTATAGAGTTGAAAATATCTATAATAAACCATTGAGTCTTGTATCACACACACGGCAACTAAAATAAAAGGGCCGAGTGCCATTTTAAGTAAGAGAGAGAGAATGCTTTGTTCACAGCGGATATGTAAGAAAGGCCTTTGTCCACATTTTTCTAGCTGTTTAAATTATAGAAGTTATTTGTTATGTTATTATATCTCGAGCTTAATTTCTGTTTCATGCAACTAATTACTGTAAACACAACAGGGGCCCACTTTCACTCGTGGAAAAGTCTACTTTTGATTTCTAATCTATAGTCTGTATCAAAGTTGTACACATACGCTAACGCCCTCTGGTGTAATAATGTTGATAATTCATTATATTTTTTTGGACATTTTCATTTCAAGATTTTAACTTCAAACTTTTTGAAACGTAGAAAATATTTTCATAAGAGTTCAAATTCCAGATTTTTTTTTAGATACTTTCAGAAACCAATGAATTGATTTCTTTGTCGTGTAAAATTAAGAAATTATTTTTTAATTTTAATACTTAATGATATATGAAAGTTACCGATAAAATGCCGAAAATGAAACATAAAGTCAATTTTTTGTTTGTGCATGAAATGTTGACATAAGAATGTAGAAACAAGAATCATTAGTTTAGAATGTTGCGTTCATGTCTAAAATATTCAAACTGGAATGTAAAAACAAGAATCATGAATATTGTCCCATTTGGTCTTCCATAGCGAATGAGCTGGCTCAAAATCCCCAAATCCCACGGGTGCATGGTAACCCTGTCTATTTATGTTATTGAAACCTCTCCGGGAGTTATAAAGAGCCCACAAGTCTCTTCCTGGTTCTTCCATTCCTAAAAAATAAAACCTAGCACTGCCCTTACCGTTATATCGGTAAAGACAGTAACTGTATTAGTTAAGTCCACCCCCCGTTCCCATATCAACGTCACAACAGATAATTACATAGCACAACTGGGACAATAATTATCCCTATCATCCCAGTCTACACCCGGGTCTATATTAACACAGCGGTAATGAAACCACTCATCGCATCGGTCACAACATACCATTGGAAGACCTTCATCAGGTTTTCTACAAATGCAATAAATATCAATATTTCCGGTATCAATCGGATTTATACTAGTTTCCGATTTTCTACGGAACCTTTAAATCCAAGACGGCAATTCCCTATCATGACAAACTTTTATACGGTCGTGATTTAAAACCGTTTCACCTTTACGTGTCTTGATTCGATACAAATATGGCGTAATTACTTGTGTTATAACTCCCGGGCCGTTCCATGTTGGGGATACTTCGGGAGCTAATTTATGCATTTCAATTAAAGCCTGTTCGAGTTTGGAAACGAACGAATCCACTTCACCAGCGTTCTCAACAGATGAACTAAACATCAGATCAGCGGGATGATTAACTTCCTGACCTAACATAAGTTTGTTAGCAGTATATCCCGTCTGTCTATTGACACTTGACCTCAAAGCGCTGGCAAGTTGTGGCAAATAAATATCCCAATTGTTTTGACACCCGTCAATATAACATTTTACAGCTTCCATAAGAGTAGTACAGTTATAATGTTCAACTTGCCCGTTAGAAGACGGTCTATAGGGTGTAGTGCGGCCCTTATGTATTTGTAACACTTGGCACAATGCAGTGAACAACAAAACAAATGACTTTCAAAATTCCTCCCCTGATCGGTGAAAACCTGAAACGGACAGCCAAACCGCGAAAAGAATTTATTAACTGCTGCCTTGGCAGTAATCTCCGCAGTTTGCGACGGTAGAGGAACGCATTCAATCCACTTTGAAAATTGGTCGACCATCATTAAGATGTATTCATTCCCCGCTTTCGTAACTGGTAAAGGACCCAAAATGTCTTAATGTACCCTCTCCATTGGCGAACCAGCGTGATATTTATTCAATTTGTTACGCACTTTAGCTTGCGTATTTTTATTCATATTACAGATAGCGCAAGAAGTGACATAAGCGCGTACATAATCCGTCATACCATACCAATAGAACTGTTGCTTAATTCGACTTTTTGTTCTTTGAATGCCCTGATGACCCGACAATGGAATGTTGTGACACAATTGACAAATTTCAATTTTTAACTCTTACGGGACAACCAGTTGGGTATTTGACAAATTACTAGGTCGTTTAATACGAAGAACGCTGTTATCATCCAAAACAAATAGATTACAGTTAATCCAGTAATCTTTTATTGCGTGATTTTTATACGCCCACATTTTCATGTGGACGTATATTGTCGTCGCCCCTGTTTGTCCATCCGTCCGGACGTCTGTCCACAATTTGTTTGTGGACACTCAACAGGTCACAATTTTTATCCGATTTCAACGAAACTTGAAATATAGCTTTATCTCCCTAAGATCTAGGTTCCTTTCGGTGTTGGCATGTATCGGACCATAACTTCATGGATTATGGCCCCTGATTGTACGAAAAATTGTGTTTTTAGCCTGTGGACACTGTAGAGGTCACAATTTTGATCCGATTTTGATGAAACTTGAAATGCATGTTTATAAGCCAAAGATCTTGGTTCCTTTCGATATTCGCGCATATCAGATCGTAACTTTCTGAATTATGGCCCCCGATTGTACAAAAAATTGCGTTTTTAGCTTGTCCCTCCAGAGGCCTCACTTTTTGTCCGATTTAAAAAATTGTTTTACACCGTTATGAAGGTTGAGTTTGAATTTTGTGAAAATCGGACTAAAACTGCCAGACAAAATGGCTGCCGCTTTTACGCGAATAGTGTAAAAATGTGGTATATCAAGGTTGTGGACCCTGTAGAGGTCACAATTTTAATCCGATTTGGATGAAACTTAAAATGCGTGTTTATAACCCAAGGATCTTATTTCATTTTGATATTTGCGCATATCGGATCATAACTTCGTGAATTATGGCCCCTGATTGTACGAAAAATTGCCTT